GATAGCATCGGGAACGGCATACTGTTCTTTCCAACAGACCAACTCCCCTTGAATGCTATCTCGCTATTTGGCCGATTTCTACTCTTTCCAGCCGCCTCCCGAAGCATGGTAGAGGCTACCTTGGCCTTGTTATAGAAACACATCTGTACACATTACTTTCGTCGTTAATTTGAGTTTGGATATAACGTTATATAGATGCAATGTTTTTTTTATCTGCCCTGCTAAGATGCCAGACGTCTGGACCAGACTGCTGCAGGTTGTGTGCGTGTTCGGCGTAGTGTCTACTCTCGCCGGGGTCAGCATTCTGTCAGGTATACGTACAGGCCGCTTTTCATGATGTAAAAGTTTGGTTAGAAAGACAACAAAAACGCAAGTATTTACTCTGAATTGATAACCACCACGTTCTTTCAACTTGACCTAAAGATCAATCTGTGGTAACTGAATTTCCTAATCAATCAACCACACGGACGAAGCACACCCCAAACAACAACAATTGTCATCTTTTTGTGTGTATTTATGTGTCCGCACATTTGTAGTCAGCATAACTTCAGAACACCTTTATGGATTGTAATGATATTTGATATGTTGGTAGATCTTAGAAAGACAAAGTTCACGGTTAAATATGGGCATCCTGGTGGCTGGTTTTGGTACTGCAGCAGAACTTCCGGTTTTTGTATCTTTTGTCCTGAACATGCTATGGACTTGGATTTTTATATTTTGCCATTAGCACAAGTCAGCAAAGTACGCCAGGAACAGGCCCGCGTGTCCGCCGAACTGTCCCGGCTAGAACACGAGGATGTGGCGGCGTTAGAGGCTACCGTTTCCGCCGTCCAGGAACAACAAGCCGGCGACGGTCTCGTCCTCAGAACCAACCTGTCCGATCTACACGCGGAACAGCTACACAACTACCGGGTACTAGATAACAAGAATAACGGTAAGGGCGCCATGAATGTTCTGCAAAATTAAGTTGTGAATACAATTGTGTTGGACATTACGGTAACGGGAGCATGGTATTTTCCCATATATGCAAATATAATTCATTAATATATGCAAGATTTATGCATATATGCAAGCACGTGCATTCATTACTACAACTTGTTTACCCTATGTATCATAAGCAATTCATTCTACATATAACGTTACTCCTGGGCACTCATTCTTTCTACCTCAACCTAAGGCACTCCCACATACCCCTGCTCACTCTTACGCACCCTGAGCACTCTCACGCACCCTGTGCACTCCCACGCACCCTGTGCACCCCCAAGCACCCTGCGCACTCTCATTCAACCTCCCCAAACCTCATGCACCCTCACGCACCCTGTGCACCCCCATGCAACCTATGCACTCTCGTTCAACCTTTCCAAACCTGATGCACCCCCACGCAACCTGTGCACTCTCATTCAACCTTCTTAAACCTGATGCACCCCAATGCAACCTGTGCACTCTCATTAAACCTTCTTAAACCTGATGCACCCCCATGCAACCTGTGCACTCTCATTCAACCTTCTTAAACCTGATGCACCCACATGCAACCTGTGCACTCCCATTCAACCTTGTTAAACCTGATGCACCCTCATGCACCCTGTGCACTCCCATTCAACCTTCTTAAACCTGATGCACTCTCACGCAACCCGTGCACTCCCATTCAACCTTGTTAAACCTGATGCACCCCCACGCAACCTATGCACTCCCATTCAACCTTGTTAAACCTGATGCACCCCCACGCAACCTGTGCACTACCATTCCACCTTTCCAAACCTGGACACTTATTTT